AAGTCTGATTTCTTGTACTAGGAACAACATCTTCCCCAGATGAATGACACATGCCACTATCTATATATGCCATTTGGAAGATGAGGGGCAGCAAAAGTACATCAGCTGTCCACTACATCATTTAAGCAAAGCTCACCAAGAATCTTAGAGCTCAACTGGGCAAATCATGATATAAGCTGTGGCTGACTGGAAAAGTTGAGAGGACGAGGCCACAGAACCAGGATCACCCAGAGATGGAAACTACAGAAAGCACAGAGGCCCAGCTATAAAGACCAAAACTGAGTCGCTACATGCTCCTTGCCAGAAGGTTCACAAGGGGCACCAGGAAGGACCCCGCCCCACAACTGTGAGTAGGTCTCTCTTGTAATAAAGTTAAGCTTATTGGGGTGTATCTGTCCTGTTGAGACCTTCAAGTAGGATCTATCGCTTTGGGGACTGGGGGACAAGGGCATACATCAGTCATCTAGGGAAGATATGGATCCTTGAAGAGGAAGCCAGACCTTTGAAATTGGTCTTGGCAGGGAAGAAAATCCCTTAGACCCTACTTTCCCAGGCCTAGATTTGGGGGAGTGGGGGCATACTTGGGGCACTTGAGGGCTGCCCCAGAGGTAAGAGAATGGTGGGCTCTGTCATCCACAGCAGGCTGGAGACTGGGCTCAGAAGCAAATTGGAGAGGGCTACAGGCCAGGTTATCCCATCCTAGGGACTGTCTTCCCTTCCCTTCTCTCATCCCCGAGCCTTGAGGAAAGTTGTAATTTGATGTTCTAGTCTGGTCTCAGCCAGGCAAGAGATATTATAACCATATCTGTGGGTCTGCCCTTAGGCCACAGGAGGAGAAAGAGCCCAGTGTCCTAACCTGGAGCTGGGGTGGTGATGACAGCAGTAACACCAAGGAAAGTGAGTATCTGAGAGTTACATTTGGGACTGAGGGGTCCATTTGCCCCCCTCAATTACTAATTTCTGAGAATCCAGATGCTAGAATGGTGGATTCCCTTTCAGGACTTCAATAAATGTATGTTGAACAGAACATTTTTGAAAAGGAAAGGCAGTACTTCTGAGTTCAGAAATCTCAATAAATTACTACTATATTTGAAAAGCTGACAAAGTTAGAAGGTGAAAAACTACACAAAAAAAGTCAGTGCTACATCCTAAGAGAGGTAAGTGTCAGATTCCAATTCAACAAGCTCCAAGAAACTGGCCAAAATCTTTTTTCTGACCTGAACTTTGGTTACTTAAATAAGTGAATCTGTTTTTATATAAGTGAATTTGTCTTCTTAACAAGAATAATCTGTATTACAGCTTTGATATTATCAGTCAAAAAGGTTAAAAAGGGCAGCTGAGTGGCGCATTGGTTAAGAGTTGGCTTGGGATGCCAGCTCTGAGCAGCAGGGGCCTGGTTCGGATCCCACATGAGGGCCAGTGATGCTGCGCCCTCTACAGCTAAGATGGTGAACAACAGCTTGACCTGGAGCTGGGCTGCCGTGAGTCACCGGCGATGGTGTAGGCTGCCATGAGCTGCCGTGAGACGCCGTGAGCTGCCGTCAAATGGCCAGCGAGCGACTGCCTCACCTGGAAAGAGCACAATGATCACAATACCATCATGGGCCAGTGAAGCAACGTCCCCCACAACTAGACTGAAGAACAAAAGGATAGCAACTTGTCTGTTCCCCCTCCCCAATTCCCCAACGCTGTTCTGCTCCCCCAATTCCCCAATAAAATCTTTTTTAAAAAAAAGGTTAAAAAACATTTATTTAGGTGGTCAGCCAAAAATATGATTATTTGTTTTTGTAACAATAGGCCATTGAATAATAATTAAAATTAACTTTATTAACTTTATTACTACAGACATTTACAAACATAAAGTGTCCTGTGCTGAAATTAAGGATTTACTAGAGTTTTCTGGTAACTTTGCCTTCCCATCCATTACCCAATATTGAATACGATTTCCTTTACAAATGTTGCTGTAATGGAATTAGGTAACACACATCGAATTCCCATTTTTAACAAGATTGACAGAATCATGGCCTTCTAAAATATTTTGGAACTTAGCTCTCATTATAAAGCTATATTCATACTGTTCACAATTTTGTTTAGAGTAATACTATCATTATAGAGGCCAAATGATAACTCATTCAAGAAAATAATCACATTTTATACCAATGAATGTCCCATCATCTAAGCAAAAAGGCCTGAAATTTCCTTTTGAAGATGTAGTTTTGTTTTGACTACCCCATAATTTACAAAATAGCTGTTTTTCCAAAACCAGAGTGGCACGTGCTATGCTTCTGAACCACATCTATAATATAATACAGTGCTTTGAATTAAATAAAGAACTGACCTGCTCCATTTGACCACTCTCCATATCCTTCTAGTTGCCTAATTCTGTGGCTAAAGCAATTACACAAACCTAAAAGTCAGATTTTCTGAAAGTGGATGGGAGACAGCAATCTCATGAATGTCAATCTCTTGTCATTTTCCAAAGGTGAAAATTGGCACAAAAGTCAGATATCTTGTCTTTATTAAAGGATCTCTGTGACAGAAATTGAGATTTTCATATGGGACTCTGGGGAGTCCCATACATGACACAGAGAGAGACTTCAGGTAGACTCATGTAAACATAACATTTCAATCTCTGGTTAGATATGACGCCAGAAATGAAATCTTAAGTTTCCATTGAGCCCAAGGATTTTTTTTTTCACCTCTGAATGATCTAAAAATACACTCAAAAGTCTTTAAAAGTGGACACTGGAGTCTATTTCTAGAATAGCTAAATCAACTAGCTTGGCTGATTGATTTCTGCAGCCAATGGATCATGAAGTTAGGCAGGAAAAAGTACAACCCAGATTTTTTTTTTTTTAATCCAGTGCCCACACAGAAGGCCTTTACAAAAAAATAAGAGTAACTCCATTAGGCTAATTTCCTCATCTTACCATTTCCACCCATATAGAGTATCCCAAAAGTCTTGGAACAGTTTTGAGCTTTAATAAAACCTCAAGTATATAAATGCAGCAAACCTGCAAAAAAACATACATCATTTGGAGGTTTACTTGCTTATATTCCATACTTGTTTAGCTTTGTGACTTTCGATAACATATTTTTAGTTTTTTTGTTATTGTTGCTAAGTACCTGTGTTTGAATGTGGCAAACAGCAGCTGTTTTTAAGTTATCAGAATTTAAAACTGCACTTTTGGAATACTCTTTATGATCCCCAGTCCAAGTCCCTGTCCTAACTCATTTTACCGATGACTGACAGTTGAACTCTGAAATGGATTAACTTGTTTTCTTACAAGTTCTCTTCTTTTCTTGCTATATTCCCAGAGCAAAGCTGGTTGAACATTTCTCTGACAGTTTTGTATAGTTTTCTCATTTATACATCACTGCAGATGTAATTAGTTTGGTGAAAAGTACCCAGGCACACAATTCTCAAACTCCTGTTTTATAGCCATAAATCTCAACCTCTATGTTTGATGTCAGTACAACTGAAAATGATCTGTGGCAGTATTGTGGACATGGAAGTGGTCATATTTTAATAAATTTCCACATATTCATCCAGTTGAAAAAACCTGTCTTGACTCTAGGGGTTTTCTCCCCTTCTTCCTGATCAATGTTACTTGGGATTTTATCTGTGACTTCTTTTGTTTTTATAAGGGTCTCATATATTTCCTGGACTTTAGCAATTTCTTTCTGGGCATCAAAATGGACTTTTTGCCTGGTCAGGAGGGGAACAATTAAATTAAAATCGTTAATTCGCTTGTTTAGTTTTCTGATGTTTTCTTGAAACTGCTCACAAACTTGGCTCCATTGTTTCTGCTCAGTTGGTGTCATTGGATTCCCAAGTTTTTTCCTCGACTCTAAAATTGCCTCTCTGAGTTCATCAATAGTATCCTTTATTTCCTTTTGCATTAGGATCCATTCTGGTTGGTATCCATTATCTATCAAGATTCTGTTCAGGTTGTGGGTCATGGGATCAATATATGAGCAGCCAGAAAATTTTTGTAGAGGTTTTCCTTTCCCACTGAGATTGTCAAAGTCTCCTTTTGCCATTGATTCCTGAATGAGATCCTCCACTAAACGCTCTATTGCTTGAGTTATTTTTTGTTCTTTACTCTGTCTTACATCTTTAACAGTTAAACTATTAGCGAAATACTGGCTTTGTAGCTTCTGCTTTTGATATTCCATCACTTGCTCAGTGGCACGATCTGCTCTAAATTGCCTATATTGTTTCTCTCGTTGACTTGGAGTTCCAAAACCAATACCTTCGAAACTTAAATAATGCCGGTGTTGGGGTGTTTTATATTTGAATTTTTCTTCCTCTTCTTCTTCTGCTACTTTAACTTTATTCTGTCTTTTTGTTTGTTCTATCACATGGGAAAGCACCTTCCTATAAGCTTCTTCGATCTTTATAAATGTTGCAGAATCGGCAGTAGTAGAACCACCATCGGGATGGTACTGCTTGGCAAGCTTACGATAAGATTCCCTGACATCATCTGCAGAACATCCTTCATCCAGATTCAGCAGCCTATAATATTCTCTCATCTTTTTTTTGGATTTATGAGTTGACATCATCCTATTTCTAATTACACCAAGATATGGAAGCATTTTCACTCGATTAGGAATCATTGCAGCATTTATCAGATGCGATCTTAAGATTTGAGCCATCATCACATACATTGTGTTCATTTTTATACCCAGTTCTTCCTAGTAATGACCTACAAAATGACAACAAATACAGGGTAAAGAAAGTTGTATTATCCACTAATTTCATATATTTGGCAATAAGGAAGAAATTATAAGTACAATATGAGTCAGTTCTAAGGCTGTTGCCAGACTTCTTATAGCTGTATTTCACTTATGTTAGAGGAGATATGGAAGTTGATGATGTCTAACATTAACATATTGTGATATAACCTGGATTCTACCCACTAACCACAGAATTTTAGAGCAGGCAAGTTCTTAGAGACCATCTAATCCAATCTCCTCATTTTATGAGAAAATGTAGGCCCAGAAGGTTAAGCAATATAACCGAGTCACATAGCAAGGTGTAAGCAAAATGAAACACAAAGGTGTACGCACATGAAACAGCACATGACAAAGTATGTACCTAACTAATCTGACACTAAATTGAATAGAATCAAGTATCTAAAAGACTTTAAACTCTACAGCTTGTTAGGAAGGAGCTATTTGCTACATGCTACATGCCAGAAAACCAAGATAAACGTGAGCCCTCCCAAATGTCAGATGTTATTTTAAAAACGCATGGTAGAGGACAAAGACTTCTACATAGATAACGGCAATGAAATGATGGAAGTGGTTTAACTGTGTGATTCTAATGGGTAAACGCTAAAACTGATATCCTGGGGGGCCCCAATATTCTGGACAATTGCGGTTAAAGACTTTTGGAGTCGATTGGCACGGTGGTGATTATGCGAACGTAGTTGTTGCAGGGGCGTGGTCAGTCCCAATGGGGGACACGCCCCGCCCCGCCCCGCCCTCTACTCACCACAGACGCGGGGAAGAGGTTCAGCTACTCCCGCCCCCATGCTGAGCCTTTGCGCATGCGTGCGAGGTCCGCCCTCCTCTCACCAGGCGACTCCGGGGCGGCGAGGGGCGAGTGTCTTCGCTGGACTAGACCATCTGCCGTTTTACACTGAGGGGCTGGAGGGAGGGGTGGAGGGCAGAATCATACCTAACCGGGACAGGTATCCTACCTTACCCGTGGACCCAAGAATCTCTCTTAAAATGCACTCTACCCAAGAGGATACAGGCAGGTCATTTCGGGAGGACACGTCCTGCCCCAGGGCGATCCGCTCCGCCTCCGTCCCCACCTCGAGCGGGAGGTGGTCTGGTCGATTGGGATTGTGGGAGGTGTAGTTCGCCGGGAACTGCGACGCCCACTGACTTCCTGCCTGCGCCTGCGCCTGCGCCTCCCGCGAGGGAGGCCGGGAACGAGCAGGGGGAGGTGGAAGTGGCGTGGGGGCGGAAACGGAGGCGTTCGGGGCTTATTGCAGGGTGTGGTCAGTGTAGGTCGGGACCTTTGAAGTCTTAGTGGTTCCCAGGGCGACGGCCCTTAGTAATTTGTTTTTGGGAGGGGAAGACGAGTCTGTTTCCTTAAACAGGACCTGAACAACCTCTTCCGACTCTGCAGACGAGGACACCAGCGCGGAGACGTGAAAAATCTACCTAATCCAGAAAGGTCGAGCTAACCCAGGCTAGAAACCTAGTTTTTTCATTAATTTAGCAAGTATTTAGTGAGCAGCTCGCTTCGCCAGGCGTCGGTAAGGGGTGAGGACAGTCGAGGACAAAATCAAAATAGGCGTCTCCGGGCTTTAAGTTCAGTCACCGTCATGGGGATTTACTACGGGGAGATACTTTTTTTTAAAAAGAAGGAAAAAACATGAGGAGCCAGACCTGGATTGAAAATCCTGTGCCTTCCATTTGGTTTTTTCTGTGCATTTATCTGGAGTACCAGTAAAGGGTAATCGTGTATTTAGCACT